CCCCACCGCCAGTACTTTTCGCAAATTAAATCAATTTAATAAATCAAATTCAATTTAAAAATAAAACAAATCCAAAAACTTTATTTCTGCTGCTGCATTCTTTCCCACATCCATTGAGGGCCCCCAGGGGCCCCACAGGGGCCCCACAGGGGGGCCCCCTGTGGGGCCCCACAGGGGGGCCCCCATGGGGGCCCCCAGGGGGCTCCTAGGGGGCCTCTAGGGGCCTCCTGGTGGCCCCACAGGGCCTTCCTGGGGGCCCCCTGGAGGCCCTGCAGCGTAGCTTTGTGGGCCCTCAAGGGGGCCCCCTGGAGGCCCCACACAGAGGGTACAAAGGGCAGCAGACGCTTCCCTAGGGGCCCCCAGGGGGCCCCTAGGGGGCCCCCAGGGGGCCCCCAGGGGGCCCCCTGGGGCCCCATAGGGGCCCCCCAAGGGCCCGCCGAGGGCCGCCTGGGGGGCCCCTGATAGGCCGCAATAGGGTCAGTTGAGGGGCCCCTTGGGGCCCCTAGGGGGCCCCAAGGGGCCTCTAAAGGGGCACTTCCTGGAGGTTCCCTGGGGGCCCCATGGGGGCCCCCAGGGGGCCCCCGAAGGGACCCCTGTGGTGCCCCTAAGGGCACAAAGAACAGCACGGGGGCCCCTGGGGGCCCCCTGTGCACATTCATACTTGGGGGGCCCCTGCGAAGGAGTGGAGGCCCTCGACTTTAGGGTTTAGGGTTTTGGGCTAGGGTTTGAAGGAAAGGGATAAGGGGAGTCCAAAGGCTCAGCACTAGAAACCCTAAACCCTAAACCCTAAACCCTAAACCCTACGAACCACGAGCCGCATAAAAGATAACGTGAGCGCTTGGGTGGGGCCTCCCCATTTACGCGAAACCCTAAACCCTAAACCCTAAACCCTACCCGTAAGCGCAAAGTAAACCCTAAACCCTAAACCCTAGGTCCCAGCCTAAACCCTAAACCCTAAAACTAATACACGCAGGGTCTAGGTTTTGCAGCAGCAGAAATAAACGCAGCAGCCTCTCGCCGTCTGCTGTTGTGCTGTTGCACAAGCTGCTGCTGCTGCTGCACCTGCTGCAGTTGCTGCTGCTACAGGTGCTGCTGCTGCAGGTGCTGCTGCTGCAGGTGCTGCTGCTGTTCCTGCTGCAGGTTAACTGCTGCAGGTATAGACGCTGCAGCTGCTGCTCTTCCTGCTGCAGCCACAGCAGCTACAGCTGCTAGTGCACTGAATACTGCAGCAGCTGCTGCTACTGCTGCAGCTGTTACTGCTGCTGCAGCTGCTGCTGTCGTAGCAGAAGAAGCCACTGCTGCTGCTGCTGCTGCTGCTGCTCTACTCCAGGCTATTCCCGGTGCCTCCGAAGAGCTGGAAGCTGCTGGGCGCATCGCTGTTTTGCTGTGGCTTTGCTGCTGCTGCTGCTGCTGCAGCCGCAGCAGCAGCAGCAACGGAAACCCTCCCCACGACTCCTGGAATCCGTCCAGACCGCACCAGGGCTTCGTAGGCGGCACACTCTCGCTGCACAGCAAAACGCCAAATTAGGGTTTAGGGTTTAGGTTTGGGATTTAAGGCGTTGGAATCGGCAGACGCGACATGCGCTCAGGCAGCAGCACCTGCAGCAGCACCTGCAGCAGCAGCTGCAGCAGCAGCTGCAGCAGCAGCTGCAG